TTAACTATGTATTCCGTATTTGGTACTCATTTCAAGACTTGACAAACAGGAAAAATAAATTCGTACTAGTCATTGTCCGCGGAAGAAGCATTCAGGCATGATCCAAGGAAGGGAAAATCGTAGTTTCTTGGATCCAGAGCCCCTTACTAGCATCAAAGCACCTCCCTTGAGTTGCTTTGATGCTAGTAACCATCTATTGTACCATTCCTACACTGCCTTTGACCAAGAACCTTCCCTCCCCCTCACCGGCATCTAGACACCTACCTTTAGGAGGGGGGGTGATCTTACTTTAAGGAATTTACACTACCTTTATTTTTCATTTCCTAATGGCTGTAAATAATTATACCTGTCAATAATTATACCTAGAGAGGGTTCGAGGGTCAATGCCCCCGCGACCCTGAATTTATTGCATTCCCCCCCTCTCCCCCCATAAAGTAAAATAATAATCTGACATACCAACTTCCGGTTCTTCGATGGTTCAGGTCCAACAATGCCAGAGTGAAAATTAAAAAATAAGAAATTTTACTGCAGTAGCCTTATAATTTCAACCAATAAAACAAATACATCAGTAACAAAGATAAAGCTATGAACACTAAACAATATTAAAACCAATACACAATTTAAAGAAAGAAATTGACACATTAACAGGGTGCCTCTTCACAATACTCAAAATTAATGATCTTTTAAAGCAGTGCATACAAATATTTGTGTTCCCGAGGCTACGCTAACTATAAAAAAAAAAACCATACCGGATTTGAACAATAAAACCATTTTCAAACTTAAAAAAACAGAAGTTACACATGATTAAATAGTTCAACACCGTGGCGACGCATGCATCCAGCCAGTAATTGCCTCCACGACACGAGCAGTGAGATTTCTTCTGGCGGTGACTGGTGTTGCCACTAGTGTTAGTTCGTGATGTGTCACTGCTAGGCGCTTGCTAGACTTCCTAAGTTTATTAATCCGATCGACAGAAGCTAGAGTAATGTCAAACTCCACTACAATGCCAAACATTGTGGAACTTAGTTTAATCGAGTACACTAGTTTACATTTCCTCAAGTATTTTGATAATTTGACCCAGTTACAAGAAGTTTACCGGACTCATTATCTTTTATGTTAATATCTACCTTGTATATTAGGTACTCTGAAAGTTGAACCATTAATTTTAACTCTGCTTAAAATGAAGCGTTCACAAGAAATACAGGAAAAATTGTCTGGATATACACTACACGAGGCTTAATAGGCCGCAGTTCAAGATACATGTATATCCTAAAAACGGATTCGAGTAGTACATACACAACGCCTCCAGGTAAAGTCCTGGAGTTTAAGCTTAGGGGCATTTATTAGGGGTTATGCAAAGAAAGCTTTATAGTACAAGTGACAGAATCCTGCGGAAAGCGTGGTTTTTAAGAGATTGAAAATTAGTAATTTGCAAAATAATGTTTCTGAAAGTTAGTACGAAGACAAAGCTAAAATCTTAAGGTTTGAAATGAATAAAAGTAAAGATTAAAATGTTGAACTTACAAGACTGCAAATTAAAATTCATGAAAGGATTAATATTGGAATATTTACGAAAAAACATGTCCCACGAGAATTTCGTATATACTACAAAATTTTTTTACCAAGAAACTGCTAAAACGCAGCTCTACCATTTATAGTAAAGACGAATATTCAGGCGAACCCTTGGGCGAGCGCTTGCGTGGGGAGCTGTACTCTGGGTAGAGAGCCTTCTTGGGAGATTCATAGTCCTCTAAGCAACTTTGTACGACTGTCCTGGTGGCGGAGCGGTGGACGCAGTACACGCACACACCCAGGATGATCAGGTACATACCACTCAACATCCCCACCAGGATGTATACACTCTTATAAGGCATACACTTGGTACTTAATGCAGTAGTGTCATATATAACTGCATCCTTTGGAGAGGCTCCACCTCTCAGAATTTTTGAAGGCCCTTCTGCAATATCAGTATTTATTAGGGCTTAGAGAATTGTGTTTTATACTAGTGCAAGATATGAAATATTTAACAAAACAGTAAATATTACATTTATTAACCCATCTACAATTTATGACTTGTCAATGCTTAAAGAACTAGTTACAGTATATTTGCTTAAAAAGATACTTCCAACTTTTGAGTTCAATGGTTAATGCTCCATAATTTGAACAGCCATTATGTGCCTTTAATCTTTCACTGCCGCCCATAGGAAAGAATTTTGAGAGAAGGAAGTATCGATCCACTCAAGGATGGGAGGAGTATACCGCTTCCCTCAATGGGTATGATGTACATGAAGCCATCACATTATATCAAAAAATATGTACTAGTGACATTTACCGAGTACTTGACTGCGTAGGTCACTCAGCGCTACAGACAACACCCCAGCAAACAATAAGTGACCATACTACATACCAGACGAGCTTCCTGACAAACCAGCTACCCTGAAGGCTTTGCCTAGAGTGACCATTTGAGAATATTGTGATATTGTGGGCCTTTTACTCCTGCCAAGGTTGATGTCAGAGTGTACACACGCTGGCTGCTCTAAGCACACTTCACTGCACATCTGAGGAAGGAGAGCATTGCTAATATGCAAAATGGCAATTCTGTATATTATATTAAAGGGAAAAGCAATTTGATTTGATTAGAGGAAAAGTTAGGATAGTTTCAATTCCTTGGAATAATAGCTTTTCACCAAGCTGAATTAAGGACAGTGCTGTGATGTGTAAACTTGTGACTAGGAAGGAACTTTTCTTCACTAGCGTCCATTTCACCCCTTAAGGGATTCTGTACATAAATTTATGAAACTAAACTAATTCCTAAACTGAGCAAGTAATGAAAATTTAGATTTTTATAGTGTACATTATATTAAAGTTGCATTTTAACTTTTAGACTTCGCTGCTGGCCCGCTCACCTTAATTGTGCAAATTATTGTAATATTTTGCTGAGAGGGTCTGGTGTTGAATGCTTCTATCTGGGCGTATTGAGTGACTCTTCGCACCGGGGTGGCGCCAAAGCTGCTCTCGTGTACAATACCCAGCACCTCTCTGAACTCTCCCATTACCTGAGACACGCTACACCCATCCTGCAACCGCATTGTAATGAATGCAATTATAATAATCAAGGGGGAAGCGCTAAACTCTTAGGATTATACAGCGCCTGTGGGGGGGGGGAGATGTGAAGGTATTCAGGGAACTGGAGCAGAGGTCCAATTCCCTAGATCTAGAGCCCCTCACCAGCGTCAAGGAACCGTCCCTGAGGGAAATGAATATACAGTCCACTAGTAGATACCACAACCATGAACACTAGCCGAAGCTATTTTATATCGACATTATATCACGAGCATTGCTTGGCGCCTCTTGCATTAAGAAAATTATCGCACTCAGGCATTTATTATTCAGTCACTAAGGATGCAAATTTACGTACATCGTGGATCCATTAAGGATTGATAATAGTATATAATGCATGTATTAAACATTAAAAGTAATCCTGCATTAACAATCTTTCAATATTTATCTGAACAGAACCACTAGGTTCAGAAGCCTTAAAAGATTAACGAATACCTAGGATACCTGGCTTCATACCAACCTTGACGAGGGAGACAGCAAGACCATCCTCACCCTTGGCCTGACACTTTACCATATGCAGGTCTAGGGTGATGTCCTTGCAGTAGACGCTAACCACCAGCACCATTTTTGTGCCCAGATCAACCACACCAGTTACAAGTGAACCACTCGGATCAGATCCTGTGCAAACATGATACAATACTTTAGATTAAGTGCTATATTTAACATGTAATTAAAGTTATTAGCTTGTCTAACGCATGACAATTTGTTAGAGGTATACTAACCCCTCCTTTGGGTTACTCTTAGAAGTCCTCTTGGGCGTCTCTACTGTTAGGTAAACATGGGCAGCATTTCCACGTTTTTAGGCCTCTTGTACAATTTAATTTGCGATTTTTTATATTTAACAAGGTCACAATTAATAAGTCCCACTGCTTGGGTCACTATTTCCATTTGAGATTAAGATACCAAATATACTAGTCATTACAGACTTCTCTAGTTTTAGCGAAATAAGCCCAAAATTCTTACCGTGGAGGAGGGACAGAGTGGTTTTGGCAGTGCTAGTTGCATCTTGGACAGAGACTTGGTTGAAGGTTGCACTGGGGGCTGTCACCAGCGTCGGCGTGGTTGGAAAAATTGACTCTTGTGATCTATCTATCGCCTGAGGAGTGAAGTTTATTACTCTTGCTCCTCCCTTGTTCTGGCACGTTACCTCTACCATACATGTGGAGTCTCCCACCTGTAATTACATGTTAGTGCTCCTCTATTATATAAGCAACCACTTGGACCAATCAGCGCTTTATAATTTGAAAAGGTTTGAGTGAAATTAAAGAATTTTCTGCCCACTATGCGAGATCCTAATTTAAAATCTCTGCATCAATTTAAAATACATTTGCACTGGGCGATTCCCGTATCTTCCGCGTTGAAGAGCAAATTCATCAAAAAAAATGACAGGGACCAAAATGCTAAACATGATTATATACACCTGGAAAATCCTAGAGGGACTAGTACCGAACTTGCACACGAAAATCACTCGCTACAAAAGCAAAAGACTTGGCAGACGATGCACCATCCCCCCAATGAAAAGCAGGGGTGTCACTAGCACGTTAAGAGACCATACAATAAGTGTCAGGGGCCCGAGACTGTTCAACTGCCTCCCAGCACACAAGGGGGATTACCAACAGACCCCTGGCAGTCTTCAAGCTGGCACTGGACAAGCACCTAAAGTCAGTTCCTGATCAGCCGGGCTGTGGCTCGTACGTTGGTTTGCGTGCAGCAACAGCCTGGTTGATCAGGCTCTGATCCACCAGGAGGCCTGGTCACAGACCGGGCCGCGGGGGCGTTGACCCCGGAACTCTCTCCAGGTAAACACTACTGGGTCAGCATTTTGCTAATTTTTTTATTAATTAAAAAAAATAAAATTTCAAAATTTTTAAACTCTTATGTACGAGGCTTTCTACCAACAAGGTGAACTCACCTTTATTAGAACAGCGACCCTGAGGGAGTCGCACGTAGCACACTTCCTGTTGACGTCTGTGTTATGTAGGTCCTTGAGGAGCCTCCAACCAGTGGTAGTACTGCTGGAGGAGACGCCTAGTACTGCATACATCACCTGGTGAGGATTGTGTCCAAGGCAAGTCACTCACAGTTCAGTATTCTTTTCTTCTGACAATATCACTCGTATCTAAGCCAGTGTACTACCCTAAGTACCTAGGTCTTACCTGGAGTTTACCTGGAGAGAGTTCCGGGGTCAACGCCCCCGCGGCCCGGTCTGAGACCAGGCCTCCTGGTGGATCACAGCCTGATCAACCAGGCTGTTGCTGCTGGCTGCAAGCAAACCAACATACGAGCTACAGCCCGGCTGATCCGGAAGAAAAAAAAAAAAAAACACCCACAAAGGAGTCTGGAGAACGGGGAGGGAGGGGAAGCTAGGAAGCTTCATTTTAAAAATTTGTAAGGCCTACAGATTTTTTTTTTTTAATTTTGCGTTTTCAAACATGTACGCCCCCAGTGTTGACTAATGCAATAATTTCCCATGATCGCGAAATTTAGAACAAAAAATAGTCATTATTTGCTTAGCCAAGCAGTACATGAAATTTTACACTAAAATAGCACTCTTATCAAGCACCTATACTTTTCATCAGATTACAGATTTAAATATGAAATGGGCTATTAGGCTTAGCTAAGTTTAAATAAGTGGTAGCGCTAAATTTAAAGACCAGCTATTGCGGTAAATTTTAATTAGCAGTAGAGCTAAACCCGTAGGCCTTACAGACAAGTGCTCAATTCATACGACCCCTCAAGGAAGGTTCCTTGATGTTGGTGAGGGGCTCTTGATTTAGGGAATTGGATCTGTGCTCCAGTTTCCCAAATTAAGCCTGAATGCCTTCCACATCCCCCCCCCCCGGCGCTGTATAATCCTCTGGGTTTAGCGCTTCCCCTTGATTATAATAATAATCAATTCATACGAATCAAAGCGCCAAAAGTTAGAGCAATAGGCTAAGGAAAGTAGGTCAACGGATGAACGTAAAAGCTAACAAGGAAAGCTAATGTTGGCATAAGCGTGTTGCAATCAAAAAGATTACTGCGTGTCTACTGATAGGAGACCTTTCTGAAAGAGCTAGGCAATCAGATGCAAAGTTAGGAAGGGAAGGAAGTCAAATTCCTTGGATTACAAGACTACTCCTCCCCTCGTCTTTACCAGTAACAAGAATTGTGTATACAACCTTTTAGCTTTGTTTACATAATATAATCAAAGTACCAAAATAAGACTGGTATAGTAAACCTTCAGAGCTACAATAACTTATTAAAATCTTCCACACTCGTGCCCTTATCTTCCACCTTACTAGTCCCGGTTTCCCGGCATTGGGGAAAAAAAAAATGACACTTGTGGCAATTACCGCTTCCCATTGAAATGGTAGTTAAATTACTAATGGGTCTTCCCCCCTCCCCCCCTCCCCGAAGAATTTTAGAAAAGTTTGATCCAAGGAGAGGGTAGCTCCAATTCCTTCTTGAAAGTCTTACCGTAAAGATAACCCAACCCCATCCTCTAAAGAGGTGTCGCCCGCAAATACCCAGGCACCATAGGAAAAAAAAAAAAAAAAAAAAAAAAAGAGCATTGGGACCAAAATATCCTTCAGCGTTCTTAGGAAGGCTAAGTTTCACAGATGTATGGTTGCCACTACTAAATGTTAACAACTTTACACAAAACTCAACAAACTAGCAGGAGAGTACACTTACCATATATGCTCCATCCATGAGCACCTCGCCTTCTCCTTCCACTAACGATATTTTACACAAGACGGGAACTCTAGAACTGGCAGACAGCTCCAGCACGTTGGCAGAACATCTAGACTGCAAAATGTTAGACTAATAAGTAGTAGTCTTATGCAAGTCGACACTTAATCAAATCTTACTTTATAACTACAACCTTACCCCGACTGAGGTTCAAAGTGCTGAAAGTATTAAAAAAATGCATTTTGAAGCTCTAGGAAATTTATATATATACTAGACAAACAGACTAGCTGCTTCAGGCTATCCATAGAAAGCCTTGCTTTCAGTGCATTGCAGTGTGTAGGATCAGCTAACCTTAATGTTTACATGTTGTACTGAACACCCAGAAGATAAAGTGTTTATTCCTCTCCCACTGTTGCTGAAGAGCAGTATCAGTTCTTGTTTGCTGACCATCTCACGTTGTTTCTGGGGCTGCTGCTGCTCCTCTCTTCCAGGCGACATACGAAACTGGTTAAAGGAAATTTAGAATAATTACATCTGGTAGTACCCAATCATTGCTAACGGCTTAATGAACAATTTGTTTAACCTCAGTATTTGTCATTGTACTGTGTTTATTTAAGCAATTATGTAGCATCCATTATGAAGCAATGTTCATACTAAAACAATGTATAGTCTTCAGTTAGTAGTATTTTCAACATCTTTATGAAAAATCTCAAATGCTACAAGTCTCACCACGTGATTCAGCTGAGGGAGTGGTGGAGGCGGAGGGGTACTGGAAGTGTCTAAGAGAGTGCCGTGAGTCACTAGGAAGGATTCTCTTCTGGGTCCTTGTCGGGAGGAAGACCCGGCCTGCTTGACCAAAGGTTGGAATAAAATAAGGAGATTTTTGCCAAGGAAATTTAGAAGCAGCTAAGAAAAATAATAGGAAAGTGGATAAAGATTTCCACGAAGAGTTAGGCTAGTAAAGGGTTAGATAACTTTTAAAAACCTAATTAGAGAAAAAAAAAATACATTTTCCAGTCAGCCCTGGACCATTGCCAGGACTGACTCAACAGCACAGATTTAAATTTGCCATCAATTTAAGGTTGGCTGTAGATCCCTAAAGATATGAAGCGTACTTTGAAATCAAGTTTGTTTACCTTGTCACCAGCAGAATTCTGCGATTTTAGTGGATCATAAGTCTCCACGGGTACAGATGGGCCTATTCCTGCAGAACTAAACACCACTCTAGAACCACCCTCGTCTCCATACGAGTTACTCTGCTTCAAAGAGTTTCCTTTTATTTCTTTCACCGGTTGTGTTCCAGCACCATCGGGAGAGCTTGAAACCTTGCTTCCTTCAGATTTTATGTTGAAGATTCCTTTTGTTTTAGAAGTTGGGTTCATCAGTTGTTTAAGAACTCCCAGGGGTTTGTTCTCCGTTTGTCCCATTAGATCATCTATGTCTATTGAGGTTTGAACATCCTCATCTTCACTAATAACTTGGCTGGCGGCAGTAATTATATTGGCTGAGGTGTTCGTGGCATCTGCTGGCAAGTGGGCGGTATGAACTGCCACTGGCTGAAGAAATGTTGAAAACTAATGTAAAATTAAGAAATACAAAATTGCCTACCTATCCAGTATACGAAGAGAAATGTATACTAAGATACTAGATACAATTTTAATATTTGTGATTTAGTACTATAAATCAAAATGCAAAACTAGAATTACAATTGTGACCGAGTATGGACGTGAATGGCTCATTACTTTGCAATTTGTTCATGATAGTGTATAGACGTGTAGATTCATTACCTTTGTAACCTGTCATATAACTTTTTCAAGTATCAAAACTTTGGGGTCCAGTCCCTGGACCCATTATGTACCTCTAATCTTTTGACTACGACCCACATGATGGGTATGGGGTGCATAATGAAGATATTAGACTAATAAACCTCTCGCAATGAAAAACTATTGTAATGTAGATAGTTAAAGCCTAAACTAATACCAATTCTAACGCCCAGTAATAGTAAATATTGTCTTAGGTACTTAAATGATTAACCGTTTAGAAAAGTTTAAGCAAGTCATATTCAGCACTGCATGGTCAGTGGCCAAAGTCAGCAGGGGAAAGGGAATCATCGAGAGCTGCACGAAGGGGGGTAACTTAGTACCGATATTATTATTATTATTAATTATTATAATCAAGGGGGAAGCGCTAAACCCGGAGGATTATACAGCGACTGGGCTGGGATGTGGAAGGTATTCAGGCTTAATTCGGGGAACTGGAGCACAGATCCAATTCCCTAAATCAAGAGCCCCTCACCAACATCAAGGAACCTTCCTTGAGGGATTAGTACCGAGAGGAGAGGGAATCACTGAAAGCCACATGAAGGGGGCTAACGTTAGTAGGTTAAAACTAACGAAGGAGAGTACAGTCGGTGTTTAATGCGTATAATATGAGGCAGTACGAGGCCCCTGAAGACCATGCAGCTCTTGGGGAATGAGAAGTCAGATTTAATGAAAAGAAAAGGCAGTGCCGATTCCTTGGACCAAGAACTCTTCAACATCAAGGCATCCTTCTCCCCCTCCTCTTTCTTTGATGGGTCTAATAGCATTACGAGTAATTACGGTAACAAAATTTTTTTTAATACACTGAGATTGGTACTTACAAGATATAGGTAGAATACCCACAATATCCATAGAAGTTTGTAGAGCATAGCGTCGGATATATGCGAGAGACACTTCACTAACCAACCACAACTAACATTTGGAATATATGACCCCGTGGAAAGTGAACAGCAGTAATGACCTGACTTGACCTCAGTCCACACAACATAAGCACCGACACCAACCACTCCACTGCTAACTACTACGATATAAATGTTTATGCACAATAAGATAGGAAAATATAGAATTTTGAATGCCTCACCTCATGTAGCTGCTAGCTAGTAATTTTTGTTGACTTTGATGAACTTACATTGTCCATCCTACTTTTGGAAATTCAATAATAGATGGAGCTGCTATCATTAATAGTGAGAATAATATAAAAAAAATGGTCACTGTTAGAATCATTAAAGCTTTAATGTTGATAACTAAAATTACGAAAACTATAAATATTTTTTCTTCAGTATTAACAAAATATTTTGTTAATTGAGACAGCAGTAATATTAGTATAAATTCTTATTCTAAGTAATTACTATAATGGATGGTGAGAGCACAGGTTATTTAGATGCTAGGAACCATGAATTACCTCCTAGCAAATTTTAAATACGCACTAAGATTCATTAACTCAGGAATATGTGATGGTGATGAGCTCTTGATCCTAGGAGTTCGAATTACTCTCCCCTTCCTCGGATCGAACTTGATTACCTCCCGTTCCCTAGGCTACAGTTAAGAGGTCAGGTTTAACTTAGTTAAATATGGTACAACTCTGCCTAAGACTTTATTCGCAACACAGTAAATAATTTCAAAATGATTCTTTCACACCAAATTTCTAAGCTTAACTTATTTATGATGCAGCAACTAATTCTAGAATATTTCTTGCATGACCCCCTGTATGGTCAAGTTTTCTCACCTAACCTATATTTATTCTTGAAAAAAAATAGTATACTTAAGCTTAAAATTACTTCATTGTATATTTTTATCAGATGTACAGAATTAAATTTCGGTTCATACGTAGATAAATTTTTTTGTTGCTTTTAAGATATATAATAATGTTTTAAATATAAATAATTCGTCAAAATTATCTGAGTGTTAAACATTGCAATATGAGATTTTTGTTGTAAATGTTTTAAAGTTGAGATTATAAATTCAGTTTTGAACTGATTTTTCTGTGACATGGATCTCATCTTCCGAAAATAAAATAACAATTGTAACATTATTTTGATCAAAATGCCTAATATGCAAATTACATATTGTGTCAAATTGAATTAACTTATTGTTTCTGTTTACACTTGTGTGTACTAGTTTGTAAAAAGTTTTTTGTTTGAGATTAAAATAAGAATATTTTCGGTACAAAAAAGTTATCTTAGGTGTTGGAAGTTGACGTCTGACCGTCAGTTGTGGCGTCCGTAACAACATCAGTTGTCACCATACCTGATTCTTCTCTACCTGTCACGGGGTTAGTATGTTTAATTGCGAGTTAATCGGGCAAGTTTAATGGTTTATGTGGTTTGCTATCCCTCCCCCTCCCCCCCGTCTTTTTCGTTACATGGTACTTATCAACACTTAATTCTATAATTCATCTTCCTACTCAACTGTCACCCATTTCTGTATAAACAGTGTATCATGTAATAAATTTATTTGTATTTGCTCAGTACAGTATATCAGTCATCTTGTAAAAGTTTAGTTATTTTTGTAGATGGTGCAGAAAATATTAAAAAAATCTTGAGCAAAATAAACGGTAAAAGTTACAGGATATAGTGACGATTATTCGAGGGAATTCTGGCATTAGTTTGTATTTTACAATACATACAATCTTGTTATTTTGGAGATATTAGCGAAAATATTTTAAAATACATACACCCTTATAATTTTGGAGATATTGAAAATGGTAAACTTATTTTGGGCAATCACAATAATAGTAAACTACTAGTACTCTGCCGATTTCGGCCATTAATTATAGTTTGAATAAGAGATAGGATAATTGTAAAGTATTAAGTTGATTGTGCTTAGTTGTGCTAATGGCATCAAGAGGGGGATGGGGGGCTTGAGGGACTTTAGCCTCTCAAAATTCCCTCAGCTTCCCCCAAAGCCTTGCAAATAATAATAATAATGAAATTATTATTGTTATATTATAAAAATTATTTCTTTGCTAAGGTTACAATGTGTGTTCACATATAATTTGAAGCAAAGAAAACCATTATCATGCCGAGGCATTTCAGGCAGAAATGAAAATAGTGTTTAATTAGTTTAATATCTTTATTATGCACCCCATACCCATCCTGTGGGCGGTAGTCAAATGATTAGAGGTACATAATGGATCCAGGGACTGGACCCTCGGTTTTCTTCTTTAATTCGTAACAGTCTGACAAAAACCGAATTCGATGAAGACTGAAGCAATATTTCCCATAAGAGATAATGTAAATCTAATTAATCCATTCCAGACACCCATAACTATAGTTTTACATACAGATAACAATGAGAAATAAATATAGAGCACTAATGAAATGGATAAATGAATATTTAAATCACTTTTACCTTTATTAAAGACTTGTTGGCATATGGAAGACGGCAAGGAGGGGAGATGTTATCTCTACCACCATCTGACACCATTGAATTCTATCGTGTTTCTCATCTTTATCGAAGGGCTGGCACTCGGAACTTTCTTTAGCCCCATGGTGGCTTATTTAGCAGTTGCACTCTATAAACAAGCACAAAAAACAATGGATTATTACAAAATGTTTCATATGACTGCGCAGGGTAATGTTCACTCGATGAGAAACAAAGCCAGATTGAATCAGAATGCATGGGATGCTTTGTGTGGGTGCAGGCAGATGGACACGTTTGGTACAGCGGACGAAAACAGAGGTGATGAATGAAAACTGGGACAATATTTTGATGAAAACAGTCATCAAAAACCGAATTTAAAAGGGAAAAACCGGGGGCAAACGAAAACTGGTTTTTCCACTGAAAAAAATTTAAAAATTTGCTGTTTTAAAAACAAAAATCCTAGCCCCCCCCCCCCATCTTTCCTTCTAGATTGCCCCCCAAAATTTATGAAAACTTTTTTGTGTCTTTTTTTAACGAATAAACTTGTGCAGTCTACCCCACAGTATAAAATTTTCCAGTTGCCTCCCGGATTTGATATTTTTTTTTTTTTTTTTCTTTGTTTGGGTTTTTTTTTATTTGAAAAGTTATCTCTAGCTTCAAAGTGTTACTTTTTTTATTTCAAAACAATCTAAATCATTCATGCAGGTTGTAAATAGTTCATTTGCTACAATTAAAATTTTGAACAGAGGGGGAACAAGGGGCTTAAATGATTGAATGTCATTTGGTAAGATTTTTTTTTATTGAAGGATAATAAAGAAAAGGACTTTACAGTGGCCCCCCCGCTTTTCGTATTTCCCCGGCAATCGAAAAAATTCGCCAATAATAGGGGTTTTTTTGTTAAACATGGACCCCCGCTTTTCATGGGTTGACCTCGCGGTCTTTAGTTCGCCCGGGGACGCGTACCCAGGGCGTGAGCCGGGGGGCACCAGCCCTTGGCATTGTTTTACCAGTGAGCGAAGGTCCCCTCACGTGCTCCAGCGAAATATTTCTAAAAATTCCCAAATTTATTTTAGTGCTTGCAAGTTTCCCAAAATAAGCTCCCATGGCCCCCAAAAAAAGCCCCCTAGTCCCAAAGCCTGTGGTAAAGAAGGTGAAAAAATACGATTAAAATTTAAAAAAACCCATCATTAAACCCCAATATAAAGGGGGGTTAAAAAAAAGTGTGGCCCGAACTGCCCCAAAAATTTTTAGAAAACCCTCCCTAAAAAACCCAAACCTTTTTATGTTTCCATATGGAAGGGGAAAAATGAAATAAAGGATGCTGGTTTTTGGGGGCCAAAGGGGGTTTCCCTAGGGCCTGAAAAAAATGGGATCACCAGTACTGGAAGAGGTTGAGAAGTTTATTTTTGGGTGTGGATAAATGAGAAACAATTTGCGGGAGATTTTCTTTGACTTCTTTTATTTGTGGGAAAAAGGGTAGTTAGTTGCCATGAAGATTTGGAAAAAAAAATTTCCTGCAAAAAAGTGGGGAAGTGAGTGAATTTAAGGCCAGCAAAAAGGGTGATTTGAAGATTTAAGAACCTACTGGCATTTCCGGGGGGTGGTTTAAAGGGCCTGGTGAGGCTGCCCGTTCGACCCCCAAGGGGCGGGAAAAAAATGTGGGAAGAATTCCAGGAGTAATAAAGGGTGAAGGACTGAAAACCTGAACAGTGTTTTAAAATTTTGACCCAAACAGGGCCTTTTTTTGGAAGAAAAAAGCCAAAGAGGACCTTCATTACACAAGAGGAAAAAAACAATGCCCGGAACCCTAAGGCCCATGAAAAAACAGGTGAAAGCTAATGTTTCCCGTCTAAAAGCTAGTGGGGATTTTTAAAATGAAACCATTACTAGTGTTTCCATTCTGAAAAAACCCAGAGTGTTTTGGAAAAACAAAGTTATGAAGAGTAAATTTTGGGGTTTTGGAAAATTTTTTAGAAGGCCCTGGGTCACGAGGGGAAAATTTTTGTCGAGTGGTTCCAAAGAAGTGGGGTTTTGGGGGTAGTGTGGGAAAGGGGTATCTCCCGGAAAAAGGGAAAATTGGGGTCTCAAGTGCGTGCTAGTAATGGAAAAGCACCCGGCCCTCCTCCAAAAATTGGATGAACCCAATTTTTGAAGGGGTTTTTGGGTTTATCACAGTAAAGTTCTTGCCCCGGGAAAACCACCCCCTCTCCAACCCATGGACCAGCAGGTTATTTCAAACTTTAAAAAAATGGACAAAAAAGCAATGTTTCCCCAGGTTTCTTGACTGGGGACCAAAAGACACTCACCCTTTACCCCAAAGGGGAATTTTTTTGGGGAGAAAACTTCAGCTTTTCCACTGCATAACCCCTTTTAGGTATGGCTTGGGAAGGGATGACTCCAGGACTTTGAAAATCTGCCCCGGAGAAAAATTTGGGCCCCCCAAATTTTTGTCGACAAGAGGGATTTTGAAGGGTTTTGGGGCTGACCCCAATGAGCCTATGTCTGTTGTAAAATCAATTGTGGCACTGGGGAGTTCCATAGGGTTGGATGTGAGTTTGGAGGTTTGTGGAAGAATTGGTGGAAGCCCACAATGAAGAGCTCACCACTGAGGAGCTGCAAGAGCTTCAGCAGGAAGAGCAACACATCTCAGCTCAGAATCTTGCTGCAGAGGAGGAGGAAGAGAGATGGAAGAAGGTGCCTTCTTCAGAAATTAGAGATTTTTACTATGTGGGGTAAGATGGAAAGCTTTATGAGAAACATCACCCTAACAAGGTTGTTGCAAGCCAGGTTGGCAACATGTACAGTAAACAAAGTCTTGGGCCATTTTAGGGAAGTGTTAAAGAGACACCAGAAACAGAGCTCTCTCCACAGTTATTTTGTGAGACAGGACTCCATGACTCTCAAGGTGGTCCTAGTGGCATTAAGAAACAGAGAAGAGAAGAAACCCAAAAAGCAAATGGTACCTGAGGTGTTGATGGAAGGGGATTCCCCCTTCCAAACTAGAACAATCAACACCCCTCCTCCTCCAGTCTCCCAAAACACTAAGAAGAATCCCCAATAAAGGTAAGTGTTATGCTGTTAATGTTTAAATTCATCATTTCCCATTGATTGTTTATGTACTCATGTATATTTCATGTTAAAATTTTTTTGTTTTAATACTTCGGGGTGTCGGGAAAACGGATTAATTGTATTTACATTATTTCTTATGGGGAAAATTGATTCGTAAATTTCGCTTATAGTAACGGCTCCAGGAACGGATTAATTACGAACAACGAGGGACCACTGTATGATGCACGAGCCACCCTGCTTAACAGTAGTATGTAGCACTTAAGTGTAGGATCTCATTTGCTGAAAGATTTTCATATAAATACTCCTAATGTAATCTCTTGTAAGTTACTAATTATGGAGTGAAATTTGTCAGGCTTTAAATCTTTTATTTATATATTTATTTATTTATTTAATGTCTTTGCAAACAGTACATTGAGATTTTAGATTCACAATAGTGGGTTGCAATGCAAAGAGAGCCTCTATTATGCCTAGGCATTATGGGCCAACTTAGCATTATTGGCTTACAGTCTACTTAACACTAAGGATTATATCATAATTGTACAGTAGGATAGTAGTTATTTCATAGTTGAACAGTAGACTCTGTTTTCATGTAGGCATACCCTAGTAGTGTTATTAATTGCTGTATTAACCATAAGGCTGTTTTCAGTTACAGTGCTATACTTGTTGCAGGTATTCCATAAAGAAGTGGCTGAATTTACCATGTCTGAAGCTGGTGCTGGCATCACTCCAGAAGGAAATGACACTGCCATGTCTAAGGCTGTGGCAGATAAAACAGCTAGAGATGAATCTAGCTTGTCTACTTCACAACAGATAAGTAGTAGGTTTAAATTTGAAAACTTGGCTAATTCCAGTAATGCTGAAGATGCAGATATAGACAGCAGTAGCAGTTCCTGGGAAACCTGTTCAGATACTTCAGGGGAACTCAGTTCATCACCTTTATACAGTAGTATTAGCAGCAGCGACTCCTCCAGTTACTGTGAAGAATCGTCTGTCTCAAAGGGCTTTCCTTGTTATGAAAAGACTAATGCAATTAACTTGAATTTATATAAAACTGACACCTCTACATGTTCATCAAAGACTAGTACTCTGTCAGTGGATGACAAAAATGCCTTTGATGCTGAAGAGATCTACAATGCAGTGTCTTATGTTCAAGATTTTAAGAAATCCTTACATAATAAAGTGTATGCTGATATAGTGCATAATAATGATAAAACTAGTTGCCCAGAAAATTATAAACCTAAAGTGATGTATGAGGATGAACCCTTTTTTCTAAACATGGAAATTCAAAGCTTAGAGTTAACCATTAATAATATGGAACTTCAGTTACCCATGTTGAAAAGCTTGTTGAAAAAACTCAAGCAAGCTAGGCAGTCTGGATTGCTACATAAATTATTGGCTGAACAGGAATACCCTGATCCTTTGTTGAACCAAGAGCCAAAGTATTATGAAAAGCCTAAGGTTTATGAAAGCTTCCCTAATAAATCTTCCCAAAAAACTGATGCAGTTCCATCTGTAGTTTTTGATGATCTCTTAAGAGATGTAGGATTTAGTGATGAATTCAAGATGCTGCAGCCCTTTGAAAACATAGAGCCCACTGAGCACTCAGTCAAGCTTTCATCAGTAATTCAGGATGATTGGGAATTTGAATTTCCCCATCTCTGTGTAACTCCTACAGGCGAGCAATGTAGTGCATTGTGTCAAGAAAAAATTGACCCATCACAGTACACAAAAGAAGGTAACAAAAATGATGGCCTTGTAGACATATCAGAAAATGAGAGAACAGAGGGAACTTCTACAGATAATTTTATTCCACTGGTTACATCCAGTGTCAAAGTTGACCCACAAATTTTGCCAGTTCATACACCTACGGAATTTCATGAATGTAATGAAATTAGCAGTGTAGATGAAGAACGACTTGAAAGTGTTGCAGTCTCTCCAGAATGCTACTTTACTAAAGAATTCTTGGGCTTCCTTGATCCTCAATTGCCTGCCTCACCCACTTCCCAAACAGATGACCAACACTCATTGAAAGGTGTGCACTCTGCCAGCTCTTACATTGAAAAGGTAATTAAAACTAATATATACTGTCTACTTGCATTTAATGTGGGTATCTTGGAAATGAAAGATAATTAAATATTCTTGTCCTTGGTGGATCTAGAATTAATGTAATTCAAATTGTCTTTATTTATGCTTGATTAAAAATTTGTAGGTTTTTGATTTGGAGTAAGATATTCCCATTTACTTGTTTTAAATGACCATCTGGCTCTTAAATGTAGCTTAGGGGTCAGTATGTAACTCACAATTACAAGGTCCTGGGTTACATTACTAAGGATAGACTTTATTTGCCCGGTCTCTTCCAAA